GAAGGAAGAAAAAGTGGAGGATGTTTAAGGAAGTGCTCTTGGAAAAAGGTAAATAGTGGGATGGATGGAAAACAGGAGTGGCGAGGGGCCGTAGAGCTCAGTGGTTAATAATAGTTTCTCAGTTCCTTCATCTATAAAATGGGATAATCGTAACCCCTACTGGACTGATGTGAGCATTACAGGACATAAGTGCCTAGCACAGTGCCTAGAATGCAGTTAATTTTAGCTGTATAATTCATTCATCGGCTCATTCCACAAATATTTACTGAATTCCGAGTGTCTGCCAGGCACTATTTTAAGAGCTAGGGATACAGTGGCATGTAAGAAAGACAGGATCCCTGCCTTTGTGGGCCTAGTAGGGGGAGACAGGCAATACACAAGTAAATGTCCAAGCCAGATAAAAACGAGTAAACATATGAACTAGAGGGACCTTCTGGATATGGGATCTGAAGAAAACAGGAAGGATACACACAGATAATGATCAGGAGAAAGAGGGCTTCCCATGAGAACACTGGGGATTTAAAATCGCACCCTCTCCCCATCTCTCACTTTGGATGTCTCTGCTGCTATTGCTTCTTATGACCACATGATGCCACTGTTGGGGAACCAGTGTCCTGGCTGATGCCTAGTCTACCAACCCTGAGGCCTGCCTGTCCGGTTCTGTGTCCTGAACCAGAGGTCCTTCCATGGAGGGCAGTTCTGTAGTAGCTCTGGTCCCTCTGGAGAAACTCAGGGCTCCTGCAGGCTTCCAAGTCTAGGTCAGAGACTGTACCAGCCTCCCAGCAGCCACTGCTTTCAGGTCCTGCCATCACAGAAGGGCTTGTCTGGGCAGGCTCGCTTCTCCATCCTCAAGGAAAAAATAAATTCTTGTTCTTTTTCGAAATCCTTGGAAATCCAGCCCATTACCTGCTTTCGACCCACATGCAAAATTAATGTGCTGCACATTTCTCACATAAAATGTCTTGATAGCTCACTGGAAATCACACAAAGGACCAGAGACTCTGACCGCTGGGAACCTAAAGGCTTGGCTAACTTAGGTGGGAGGGATATACTTTTCTTTCTTTTTTTAAAATCCTCATCTGAGGACATGCTTAGAGAGAGGAAGGGAGAGAGAGAGAGAGAGAGAGAGAGAGAGAGAGAGAGAGAGAGAAAGAGAGAGAGAGAAAGAGAGAAATCGATGTGAGAGAGAAACATGATCCCCTGCCCTCCATGCATGCCCTGAACCAGCAACCTTTCAGTCTCTAGGGCAGTGATGGCGAACCTATGACACGCGTGTCAGAGATGACACGGGAACTCATTTTTTTGGTTGATTTTTCTTTGTTAAATGGCATTTAAATATATAAAATAAATATCAAAAATATAAATCTTTGTTCTACTATGGTTGCAAATATCAAAAAATTTCTATATGTGACACAGCACCAGAGATAAGTTAGGGTTTTTCAAAATGCTGACACGCCGAGCTCAAGAGGTTCGCCATCACTGGCCTAGGGCAACAATCAACCAACTGAGCCACTCTGGCCAAACAGGATGATACTTCTACAGCAACAAATAATAAAAATCACATTGAAAATATAACTTCTTAATAGTTGTCTTTGTGTTATGGGTTGGCTCAACGAGATAGACCACCGACTCAGAATTTAAATTTGAAAGCCTTTTATTAAGCTGGCCAGCCGACCACAGCCCGTACCTTCCCCCTCTGGGAAGCCTCGCGGCATGTGGCAAAGAGCAAGTGTGCATTATGATTTTTATAGCAAAACAGTGTTACCTTAGAAGTTCACAGAAAGTTCATAAGCACAAAGGGGGGGTAAACAGAGTCACACCTGACTGGTCTAAGACAATCTAGCAATTTTTCTTCCATGGTTCCTAACCCTGCAACCCCTCTCCATACGTCAGTCCCTCCTCCCAGCACATACACAATCCTTCTTCATATCCTGGCAACACAATTCTTCCTCCTACATCCCCCTTCCTCCGAGCACATTCAATTTCTCATGTCTTATTTCCTCCCCTTAGCACATTCTGTAACATTCTGTAACCCTTCCATGCCACAGTCCCTCACCCTAGCACATTTGTTACATTGCACTCTCTATCATTACTGCTATGGTTATTATTAGTATGATTATAAACTAGAGGGAGTGGAGATACTGATGTTACAGAATTTACCAGTCGACCGAAAAGTACGCAGGAGTACCGGAGATACAGGAAAAACCCTTTTTATTTATTTTCAGATGCTCCACATGTACTAGTACAGTGACTCAGGGAAGACTGTTTCCCTCCAAATCCTGAGCAAACCAATATGGAGGAAGCTCTCCCTTTATACCACTTTGGTTTCTTTGTCCCCCAAATATGGATGGGACTTCCGGACCTTTTGCAGTTTTGCAAAAAGCCCCGTGTGTTGGGATAGGGGCCGTGAGACCACACCTAAAGGCCTGGCCTGGTACCAGCGCTGATAA